AAACCCTTTCAACTAAAAGATACCTAGGACCAGTTGTATACAGCAAAAAAAAATTCCACCAGACATTCTAAGAACTTATACCAATATGTATCGAATCATTCCAAAAGACAAATAAGGAAGGAATACTTCCAAATTATTTTTATGAAGCCAGTATTACTATTAAGGCTAAAATCTTTTGTGATATGATGGTAATTAAGAACTTTGGAGCAGGAAAACTCTGAGACAAGAGATAGGTACGGGGGAGGTGAGCAGGAGTCCCCTACCACCCACCCTCTGTGGTTGCCCAGGATGGAAGTCTTTGTTTTCCAAAGCTTTCACCTGTAACCTTTGCTGCCATATATACCTTGTTTAATTATCCCATGTACATTTTTACTTATCTATTTGCTATTTTGCCTTTTCATTGCATTTCCTCATTTATAAATATAAAAGCCTCCCAAATTGGAGGATGCTACTGACTCCCTTACGAAAGGATCCGTGGATCAGTACTCTAGCATGAAATTATTAAACTCCCTCTCCTCACTTGACTTTGGCTGTTGATTTCTGATTTTTCCGTAACATTATCTTGATGATAAAACCAGGCAAAGATCTGAAAAAAAAAAACAACAACAAAAAATTATATGCCAGGTTTGATGATGAACATAGACATAATTATTCTCAGTAAAGTACTTGAAAACAGAATGCACGTGCATATTAAAAAAATTACCCACCATGATTAAGTCTCCTTCAATCCAGAAATGAATGGATATTTCATTATACATAAATCAGCAAATATAATCCACCACAGAGACAGACTCAAGTTCAAAACAAAATGATCATCACATTAGATAGAAAAATGCCTTTGAGTTAAAGTATTCATGAGAAAAGTAATGGAGAACCTGAGGATGCAAGTGACATACCTCACCATACTAGGGCAGCATACAGCATGCCCACAGACAACATGGAATAGAGAAAATTCAAAGTATTTCCACTAGCATCAGGAATGAGACAAGGATGTCCATTCTCTCCATTCCTGTCCAATATAATAGTGAAGTTTTAGCTACAACAACAGGAAAAGAGAAACGAAATACACTTGAAAAGGAAGAAGTCACAGTATCTCTATGTATAGATG